CACACACGAGCCCACGGGGTCAGTATCCCCCTCCTCTCTTTGCTGGCGTCCATCACCAAGATGGCCACCAGCACTGAAGTACATCAACATGCATGCGTGATGACATCACACCACAGACATTATAAATCATATGCGGCAGCTGCACTGGGTGACACCCACCCTGGTGCCATCACGGCTCGGTCACTGCCAAAAATTGAGGCATGCTGGGTAGTGGAGTGGTTGCATAGGGGCTGGCTTACAGCTTTTCTGTTTTTCCAATGCCCCAACCTCCTGTAGGTGGCAGTATAACACAACTGTTTTGCAGTCTGGTGTCCGTCAATGGATGATGGAGAAATAGAAGTGTCAGTGCTCAATAGGCACCATAAAATGCCCTTACCGAGGTAAGGACGTGTTTTGGTGCCTATTGAGCACTGACACTTCTATTTCTCCATGTCACCACTACTCTCTAAGCAAGTGGTAGCAACCTAGCTGTGATGACGCTACAAATCCCATCATGCCTGTGGCTGTCAGTCTTTCAATGCTCCATGAGACTTTTAGCGCCACAGCAGCTGGAGCACCAAGGTTGCCTACCCCTGCACTAAACTGATGCTACTCCATAGGAAGCAGATGTCTGGGTATAGGGCAGACACACCACCTCCCACATTAAACTTATTGCCAGAGCACCCTAACAAGCCCCGAGCCCTCATGTGTGGAACATATCCAGGGGTGCCAAGGGAACCAGTCACAACTGGGCTTATCCAAGAAACTGGCAAACCTGTATTAGCAAGGTAACAAGTTTGCTTTATAAGAAGGACGGCGGCTCTTCCCTTCCACACACTCACCCACGGCCAGCAAACTCCATTTTGTTTCAGAGATAGAGGAGCTTATCAATGCGCTGCTTTTCTTCTCCCTGTAGTTACAGGGCTGGGGGAACCAGACCTGTAATTTATTTAATTGCAGCAGAGAAAAATCACAGCTCGCACCCTGCCAGATAGGACTGTGCCATGTGGCAGTACTGTGTAAAGCTCAGGCCTGGATTGGCAGAAAGGCAAATCCTTTGGCATGTTAAGCCGTTGGCCTGGACTTCAGCTTTAATAACAGCTTATAATACAGGACAGTACAGAGACATTCTGCTGGCTCAAACTGAACCAGGTGCTGGCTCCAGTGTTACATACTTGATTCTGTCTTCACTACTTGGTGAATGAAGCGAGTAAATGGAGCGTGAAAAGGGGTGAACTTCTATCATGCATGCTTCATCCTCAATAGGGAAGCCAGGATGGAGGACAACATATCCAGTCTCCCTTTACAAACCAAATCAGCAACCGCAGCTCCTAGATTTGTCCTCACAGGTTTCCTTTTATAGTGTGCACTCATATCTGACATGTCAGTACACGTTTCAGGTGAACCCACTTCCTGTCTCATACACACAGACACGAGGAAGTACTGAGACGCGACCATGAGGAGGCGTTCAAGGCAATCAAACAATTC